AAAAAAAATTTAAAAAAAAAATTAAATTATTAAAAAAAATTAATGAATTAATTAATTAAATTAAATTAGAATATATGTTTATGTTTAGTTTTAACAGCATACATTTACATCACGTACCTATGCGTGTTTATATGCGTGTATGTATGCAGCACAAAGTTGAACCAAAGCAGCAACAACAACAACAGCTGCGGGCAGCGCTGCCGACAGAGGCAGCGCATGAGCAGCGATTTTACTTATGGCTATAACTTTCTTCAGAATTGACCTATCATGATGAAATTTGGCACACGGACACATTAGTACTAACTGGATGTACCTACCAAAATTGATTTCAAAATTCCGAGAATTACGGAAGTTATAAGAAAAAACACGAATTGCGGGGGAGTGGGGGGGTGCATCGAAAAAAAACTCAAACTCGTACTTTCTCGGTCTTAGGAGAATATGGAAACCAAGTTTGGTTATTCTAGCTCTTATACTTTCTGAGATCCTTGCGTTCATACGGACAGACGGACAGACGGACAGACAGACGGACAGACGGACGGACGGACGGACAAGGCTATATCGACTCGGCTTCTCATCCTGATCAAGAATATATATACTTTGTGGGGTCTGCCACGCCTCCTTCTGTGTGTTACATACATGCGCACAAAACTAGTATAGCCTTTCACCCTTTGGGTACAGGCTATAAAAACAGAACAAATGATTTTTTTCGGCAAAATAAATTTATTTTATTCAAAATAGTCACTTTCTGCTTCAATACAGCTTTTTGCACGATCCAAAAGCATGTCGAACAAATATTTTAGCTCCTTGGCCGGTATGGCCGCCAGTATGCCGGTGCAAGCCTTTTGAATGGCCTCTACGTCTGCATAACGTTTTTCTTTCAGAAGTAGAAGTCGCACGGTGCCATATACGGTTAATACGGCGAGTGGTTAATGGTTGATATGTGATTTTTGGTCAAATAAGCGGTCACAAGCGTCGATCGATGAGAACAATTATTGGTCGTCAGTCAATTTGAGCGGAACAAACCGTGCACACACCTTTCGTAAGCCCAAATGTTCGATCAAAATGCGATAAATCGATGTTTTGGAGATTGTCAATTCCATTTCCATTAATTTCAATGATGATTTCGTCTGATTTTTGATGAATTCACGCACAGTTTTGATGGAATTTTCGGTGATCACGAATTTTGATTGGCCCACATTTGATCGTCATTTATGTGCTCACGACCACTTTGAAAACGTTGAAACCACTCGTGCACTCTGCTACGGGATAGGCAATCATCGCCATAAACTTGTTCTATCAATTGAAACGTTTCAGTAAAAGTTTTACCAATTTTAAAACAAAATTTAATGTTGGCTCTTCGTTCGAAGCTCATTTTCGCACCGATAACACAAACATACTGCCACTTAAAACGCAATAACTTCACTTCCAATCAATGACATGTCATGAAATTCTCACTGGAGAATCGATAAAGATAGCAGATTCTAACGCACCAGTCGACATATAGATAGCGCCCCCAGGGGGCGCTATATTCAAAAAGTGCTGTTTACTTTGGAATGCACCTTGTATTCCTAGAGATATAGGTGACTATACGAATTACGGAAAATCTCCATGGGGAGGGGGGGGGGGGGGGGGGTGGGTAAATCAAAATAATAAAAACACATAAGGCACAGCGTACGCACATAAGGCGCCACCAAAAAATACGTCGGTGTCACTTCGAAAGATTTTATTTTTTCGAACTTCCTCTCCAAGCCAGATGTCAGCAACAGCAGCCCTATGTGAGTATACGTGAAAAGTGCGTTTAGGTAAGGTTTCTCCATGACTCCAAAAATTCTTGGAATTTTTCAATTAACTCAATCAATTGGCAAAAATCAGCAGTTTATCAAGATAAGTCAAAAGGAAGTTATAGCCATAAAACTAATCTCTGCCCACGCTCTGCCCGCAGCTCTTGTTGTTGCAACTTTGGATCAATTCTAAACTGCGCACATGTTCACACACAGACACGCATAGAATTATGTAGGTACAGAATATTTTAAAGTCGCCTCTTTAAGTTTTCCACTGGCTTTTTTAATTTCTTTAAAAGCCATTATCAAAAAGAAGTAGAGCAGAAAACATTTTGTTGGGAAACTTTAATAGGGCAAACAACTTTGGCTATGCTAGAAAATATTTTAAGTGCGAAATCTTATCTTACCGCATTTTCCGTACGAGCGCAATGTAAAAGATATTTTTAACACAAAAAATCACTAGAAATGTTCAAACAAGAAATGAAATACAAATTGTTCATTTTGTTGTTATTTAAAGACTGCAAGCAATCTACAATAATAGTTTGACTGATAACAGGTGGTTATCATATCTATAGAGAAAATTGTTCAGTTACTCTTAGAACGCCAAAATCAATATAAATACATACAAATATATATTAAGGATCGGGTAGCTGCCCCCACCCATTAGAATATGAACGGAACAAAAATTTTTTAGATAAATTTGAATTTTACCGCATTGTATAAAAATCACTACAAAACAGACATTAATTTCATGGCAACGTATTATTGGTCAGCTGAGGTGCTGTGAAGATATAAAGTTGACAAATTGCAAGTCATGGACATCATTAGATATATTACGAAATTGTTGAGTGCCTTCCCACACCAATGATTTTGAAGCAGAAGCAGTATCTCAACAAAGCAAATTGTAGACACGTTGCAACGCGTTGTCTTAAAATTTATACTGTGGTTGGCATATTCTAAAAAAGTTTAAGGTGCTTCATGTTTGTTCTGCGTACTATTTCTCCTAAAAAACAATAAAGGGGTTCTGGAATCATTCATGAAAATGGAAAAAAAATTCAAAAAATGATTACAAAATAATTGGACAAAATGTAAACAAATTGTCTTTAAAATGTTCAATCTTCCTAATGGCAACACGGTTTTTCCGTAAATCTAACGGGACTTTCTAAAAATAGCATTAAAAGCATGAACACGTTAATTTTTGCAACATTGCTGTGCTTAGTATCCTTTTTGTGAAAACAAGAGCGCATTTCAAAATGGACAAACTTTTGGCAGACTGTTCTAAAATTAATAACTTAAAATGCATTTTGAAGTGAAGGTATTTACTTTAATACATTCTTATTGAACAATTAATTTTATCAATTAAATCTTTTTTGCGTATTTTTGATCGATTCAACATTTTTTGTGTATTTTGTGAACGTCAAAGTTTTAGTTGTATTACCCCCTGATGCCCCCATTGTATTTTTGTGGAGAGTACAGGGTGTTTTACTGTCGGACTTGCTCGACTGTACCTTGTTTTCATTTCTATAATTATTCTACACGTATGTACAGAGTATTTTAAGCACCCGACACCCGACTTTAACTTCTCTACTTGTTTTCATTGGTGCTTTAATTTGTTGTCATTGGGGGATGAATTGTTGTTGAAATTTGGAACACGAATGTATGTATGTAAGCAAAGGCGAACGCAGCTTTTACCAAAGACGGGGGCCAAAAATGTTAAATTTTGATTAAGTATAACACGATGCATTTAAATAATAATTTATGCATATGATCAATGAAAAAACTTCAACAAATCCAACTCAGTTCCAACGTGTGGTCGACTTTATATGGCATTATTTTTTGTAGAGGGCAACGGCCCCCCGTGCCTCCCTTCGTACACCCGTGTATGTATGTATATACATGTATGTATACGGTAAGCGTTAAGACGCTGAAATTTGGACACAAGTTTCCTGTTATAGTGTAGATGACTTTAACTTTAAACTTGGGTTATTTACTCTGACAAAGAAAAAGAAAATAGCTGGGTAAAATGTTTTTTATACCCTGTACTAGTTTTGTGTGAATGCATGTAACACACAGAAAGGGGCGTGGCAGACCCCCAAACGTATATATATTATTGACCAGGATGACAAGCCGAGTCGATATAGCCATGTCCGTCTGTCTGTATAAACGCAAGGATCTCAGAAAGTACAAGAGCTCGAATAACCAAATTTGGTATCCAGATTCTCCTAAGCCCGAGGAAGGACGAGTTTGTTAATTTTTTCTGATGCACCCCCCATCTCCCCCCTATTCACGATTTTTTATTACTCCCGTAATTCTTGGAATTTTGAACTAAAATTTGGTAGTCATACCCATTATTATATATCCGTACACAACGTTTCATCATGATAGGTCAATTATGAAGAAAGTTATAGCCATAAATAAAATCGCATGCTCTGCCTGCAGCTCTGTCCGTAAGTGTTGTTGCTGCTTTGGTTCAACTTTGTGCTGCATACACACACGCATATAAACACGCAGAGACACGATTCTGATGTAAATTCATTATATGCATATGTTGAATATTTTATATTTAATTTAATTATTTAATTAAATTAATTCATTTTTTTTAAAATAATTTTTTTTACAGGGTATTTTACTGTCGAGCTTTCTGGACTGTAGAGTTCTATCTTGTTAGAAGTATTTAGTTTTTAAAATGTATACACATATACAAGAATGTATATAAGGATAAGCTAGAGCTAGCAAGATATTTGAAACAAGCTGTACATTTTTTGAAATTCAAACGAAAAACAAATTTTCATGTAAAACAAGAAAGGAATGCTAAAGTCGAGCAGGCTCAACTCTTTGTGTACTTGTACATATGTATGTATGTATGTGTTCATTGAGCCTGGTTATATGGCTATAACTTTCTTTCTGATCAACCTACCATAATGAAACTTAGTATACGAGTATAATCACTATCTGGATGTGTCTACCAAATTTAAATTCAAAATTCCAAGAAATACGGGAGTTATAGAAAATCTTCAATAGGGGGGGAGTGGGGGGGTGCATCGGGAAAAATGAACAAACTCGAAACTTGCTCGACTTTAGCATTCTTTTCTTGTTATTTATTGAATCTTTAACAAAACCTGTAAAACATGTTTAATGTTCCGTTTGATTTAAAATTCAAAAATACTACAAGGAAGATCGAATTTTACAAATATGTAGAAATTATCCATATTTACTTACCGGGTCCAGCTCGGAGTCCCATATATCCTTAAGGTCGCCATCGTAAAATGATTCCATTTTGTAGTTTTGTGTTCTAGTTAGGAATTGTTTAATTGTCGCAGTTGATGCGAACTCTACGTAATTACTTATGTATGTATATATATCTGTGGCTGCTTTAATATTTTAGTTTATTTGGATGTACATACATAATTATTTATGTTCATTGTAATATCTTGTCAGTACTTATTATATTGAAAAACATTTCTTTCTTTCTATTAACTAACACTGGTAGCCTAATTAATATTTTATCGCGGTTATGAGCGGAAACCTGTTGCTTCTGTAGGAAGTTTTCACTTGAAACTGATACAATTTGTGTATGTATTTACGAACACTTGACTGAATTCTTTTGTGTGGGTCTCAGTTTCGTTGGTGTTATCACTTGTTGCACGAGTTTTGGACGTACTTTTGAAATTTAATTATATTTTTCTTTAATATTGTAAATAGATAGCACATTTCAAAAGTTCAGTTCTATAATTTATATTTAAAACAATTTGGCAAAATTCAAATGTATTCAACCATTACTTGCAATTACATTATCTATTATTTTTTTTCTACTTATTGCAAGCAATTATGTGTCTCATTGCTTTCATACATACTATATATGTACATACGCATGAATTTATAATTAGATTGATTATCCGTCACTAATATGTTCAGATTGATACCATATTTAATTATATGTATGACTGTAGCACAGTTAAAATATGTAAGTATGTGTATATCCGTAGCCCGACTGGTACCCAAAACGGCAAGCAACTAAATGTTGGTGAAATTCTTGTGAATGTGAACGAACGGGCGGAGCGAATGTACCAGCAGTCAGAGTCGCTCTAGCCATCAGAGTTCTGTTTGTGTGTGTTTGTTGAAGTAGCGCACACATTAATCAGCGCGTATACGAAGCGGGTGGAATTCTCTTACACACACAGGCATTTAGAGGTTTCAACTCAGACCAATCTACAAATATAAAAAAGTATGTATATATGTACATACATCAAGCATATACATAGTACACGTATGATTGCTTATCTTTCTCTTGTCTGCGCCGGTGCCCGTTGCGCTTTGCCGGCTTGTGCGCTCTTAAACAACTTTCACGCTCTTTGCTGTGTAAAGTGAATGTAAGCAACATAAGCCGGCCTCTGTGACGACTTTGGTAAGAAAAACAAGTTTCTATCGACGGTGCTGGCGCAACATTTTTTAACCTGTTTTTATAAAACATTTCAGCTGTGTTGAATGTGGCCCTCTATCCTCCTTCTTTTGTCGGGTTGCCCACGGCTTAGTAATACCATTTTGATCTTGTCAATATGACCAAGTTATTTGTGCATTGCACATGAAGACCCAACTGGCCCATGGATAGATTTGTCATTTGAAGGTTGTTTGTCGGACCCAACGAGACCATTGAAAAGCGACGTAAAAGTCGGGGTAACGACGTCAGCATAAAGTGAATGTACTTTCAAATCAAAGATCCGGTTTAAAAGCAGACAGAGATACAACGACGAAGTTTTCTAAAATGCTTTTGTAATAAGTAAATACATACAAATTTATATACAAGTATGTGACTATGTATGTATGTATGTACACAGATGGGTCAGAAACTTGTATGCTCACAAAAACTTATGTATGTAGCGTATCTGTACAGGTACACACAGTAATAATATACATATACATAAATATGTATATATACACGTATTTATTCAAATGTATTATTATGCATATATGTATATATTTATATATATGTATGTATCTGAAAGTAAAAAACACAACAACAAAAATGCACATGTAATATTCGTGTTGGTTGTGCCCACCGTTATGTACTTAACACTCTTACCTAACTCTCTTAATAACAACTCTCTGATGTTGATCGTTTCTGGACTCAGGTGTTTTTACAGTTACACAGTGGGCATTTGTATGTATGCAGGTGTATGAAAACACAGATATATTTGAATTTTATGAACTGGCACAAATTGATTTCGCCATCCATCCACGCGCAAACACATACATATTATTACTAATGTTCATACCCTACTCTAGTGTATAAAGTTTCTAAAAAATAACAAGTGGAGAAGCTAAAGTCGGGTGTCCAAAAAATAAAACAAGAAAGGAATGCTAAAGTCGAGCAGACTGAACTCTTAAACTCTTAAACCCTGTACCTCTCACCAAAAAGGAAAACAAGTAAGCTAAATTCGGGTGTCCCGACTTTGAAATACTTTGTACATATGTTTACAATAATTATAGAAAATAACAAGATAGAACGCTACAGTTGAGCAAGCCCGACAGTAAAATAGCCTGTACTCTCCACAAAAAGGAAAAATTAAAAAAAAAAAATTTAAAAAAAATTAAATTATTAAAAACAAGTAAAAAAGCTAAAGTCGGGTGTCCCGACTTTGAAATACTCTGTACATATGTTTACAATAATTATAGAAAATAAAAAAAAAAATAAATAAAAAAAAATTGGATCGATTTTACCTCTCTCGGTATTCGAACTCACGTAAAGGGTGTATAATTGCACATTTACATAGCAATTGCGTCTGTGTGAGTGTATGTATGCCTATGCGCATCTATTCGTGTCTGTGTAAGCATTTTCGCAGTCAACCAAACAGCAACATCAACAACAGCCGCGGGCAGCGCTTGAGCAGCGCTTGAGCAACGCTGCAGCAGCAAATATATTTATGGCTATAACTTCTTGGTAAATCGGTCTATCATAGTGAAACTTGGCATACGGACACATAATTACTAACTGGGGGTATTTGCAAAATTTTAGTTCGAAATTCCAAGAATTACGGGAGTTAGAGAAAATCGCATTTGCGGGGGAGAGGGGGAAGGGTGGGAAATTCCAAAATATACATTTTCTGCGTATTCACACAAGGCATCTTGGACTAAAATTTGGTGTGCCTAGGTCTTATAGTCTCCGAGATATAGGCGATTATACGAATGGAAAATCGGGAAAACCCCCATAGGGGGGAAGTGGGGGGAAAATCAAAAAAATAAAACAAACGTATAGAATACACACATAAGGCATCTTTGTGCAAAATTTGGTGTCTCTATCTCTTATAGTCTCTGAGATCCAGGTGTTCATACGGACGGACAGACGGACAGACAGACAGACAGGGCTAGATCGACTCGTCTCGTCACGCTGATCAACAATATATATACTTTGTGGGGTCTGCCACGCCTCCTTCTGCCTGTTACATTTTTCAGCTCCCGCAAACCTAATATACTTCTGTACATTTCATGTACAGAGTATAAAAATGAATGAATGAATTAATTAAAATAATTAATTAAATTAAATTAGAATACATGTTTATGTTCAGTTTAAACAGCATACATTTACATCACGTACCTATGCGTGTTTATATGCGTGTATGTATGCAGCACAAAGTTGAACCAAAGCAGCAACAACAACAACAGCTGCGGGCAGCGCTGCCGACAGAGCTGCAGGCAGCGCATGAGCAGCGATTTTACTTATGGCTATAACTTCCTTCAGAATTGACCTATCATGATGAAATTTGGCACACGGACACATTAGTACTAACTGGATGTACCTACCAAAATTGATTTTAAAATTCCGAGAATTACGGAAGTTATAAGAAAAAATACGAATTGCGGGGGAGTGGGGGGGTGTATCAGAAAAAATAAACAAACTCGTTCTGCCTAGGGCTTATAGGAACCTTGATACCAATTTTGGTTATCCTAGCTCTTGTACTTACTGAGATCCTTGCGCTCATACAGACAGACGGACAGACGGACATGGCTATATCGACTCGTCTTCTCATCCTGATCAAGAATATATATACTTTGTGGGGTCTGCCACGCCTCCTTCCGTGTGTTACATACATGCGCACAAAACTAGTATAGCCTTTCACCCTTTGGGTACAGGCTATAAAAATTTTATTCGATTTTACCTTTCTCGGTATTCGAACTCACGTAAATGGTGTATAATTGCACATTTACATAGCAATTGCGTCTGTGTGAGTGTATGTATGCCTATGCGCATATATTCGTGTCTGTGTAAACATGTTAGCATTCAACTAAACAGCAACATCAATAGCCGCGGGCAGCGCTGCAACAGCAAATATATTTATGGATATAACTTCTAGTTAAATCGGTCTATTATAGTGAAACTTGGCATACGGACACATAATAACTAATGGGTGGTATTTCCAAAATTTTAGTTCGAAATTCCAAGAATTACGGGAGTTAGAAAAAATCGCAATTTGCATTGGAGAGGGGGGCGGTAGGGAAATTCTAAAATATACATTTTCTGCGTATTCATACAAGGCATCTTGGACTAAAATTTTGTGTTCCTAGGTCTTATAGTCTCCGAGATATAGACGATTATACGAATGGAAAGGCGGGAAAACCCCCATAGGGGGGAAGTGGGGGGAAAGTGGAAAAAATATAACAAACTTGCACAGCGTACACAAATAAGGCATCTTTGTGCTAAATTTGGTGTCGCTAGCTCTTATAGTCTCTGAGATCCAGGTGTTCACACGGACGAACAGACTGATAGACGGACAGACAGGCAGACAGGGCTAGATCGACTCGTCTTGTCATGCTGATCAAGAATATATATACTTTGTGGGGTCTGCCACGCCTCCTTCTGCCTGTTACATTTTTCAACTCCCGCAAACCTAATATAATCCTGTACATTTCATGTACAGAGTATAATTAAATAAGTTAGCAGTCAACCAAAGCACCAGCATCAACAACAGCCTCGCGCAGCGCTTGAGCAGCGCTGCAGCAGCAAATATATTTATGGCTATAACTTCTTGTTAAATCGGTCTATCATAGTAAAACTTGGTACACGGACACATAATAACCAACTGGTATGGGTATTTCCAAAATTTTAGTTCGAAATTCCAAAAATTACGGGAGTTATGATTTGCGGGGGAGAGGGGGAGGGAGGGGATTTCCAAAATATACATTTTCTGCGTGTTCACATAAAGCATCTGGGACTAAAATTTGGTGTTCCTAGGTCTTATAGTCTCCGAGATATAGGCGATTATACGAATGGAAAATCGGGGAGTGGGGGGAAATTAAAAAAATAAATACGGACGGACAGACAGACAGACAGGGCTAGATCGACTCGTCATGCTGATCAAGAAAATATATACTTTGTGGGGTCTGCCACGCCTCCTTCTGTCTGTTACATTTTCAGCTTCCGCAAACCTAATATACTCTTGTACATTTTATGTACAGAGTATAAAAACACGACCAAAATACAAATACTCTAATATTTATTCCAGTTTTTTGCACAGTCTTTCTTAAAAAAGTAAAAATGCTAAAATCGTCCTGCTAAAATGTCCCGCAAACCTAATATACTCTTATATATTTCATATACAGAGTATAAAAAATGTGTTATGTACATATATGTATCTTATTGTTTAAAAAATAGCGAACGCCACAGTCGAGCAAGCCCGACAGTAAATTAGCCTGTACTCTCCACAAAAGAGGAAAATTTAAAAAAATTAAATTATTTAAAAACGAGATAGAACGCTGCAGTCGAGCAAGCCCTACAGTAAGATACCCTGTACTTAACACATGCATATAATAAATATACATCAGAACCGTGTCTCTGCATGTATATATGCAGCACAAAGTAGATACAAAGCAGCAACAACAACAGCTACAGGCAGAGCTGTAGACAGAGCATGAGCAGCGGTTTTATTTATGGCTACAACTTTCTTCATAATTGACCTATCATGAAACTTGGTATACGGATATATAATCACTAA